TATAAATGGTGTCTCTTCAAAATTATATGTTCACTTTTACTGATGTATAGAAATACATTTGACTTTTATATATTGATTTTTTGTCTAGCAAACTTGCTCAGCTCTTTAATTAACTTATATTTTTGTGTAGATTCTCTGGGATTGACTTTATAGACATCATATCAACTATGATTAATGACAGTTTTGTTTCATCACATCCTACTTATATTCTTTAATTTCCTTCTCTTGTATTGGCTAGGAATTCTAGTGCAAGATTGAATACAAGAGTTGACGGCAAATGCCCTGTTTTGTTCCCTTCTCCTGAATTGAAAATGAATGTTATCAACATTTCACCATTAATTATAATGTTTGCTGTAGGTTTTTAGTAGATACCATTTATTGGTTAAGGAAGTATTGTTGTATTATTAGTTTCATAAGAATCCTTATCAGGAATGTACATTGAATTCTAGAAAACGTTTTTTTTCTGTATCTATTAAGATGATTATATGATATTTCTCCTTTAAATTAAGATTGTACTTAATTGTATTGATTGATTTTTTAATGTTAAACCAACCTCTCATTCTTAAAATAAGCCTTATTTGGCCATATGTTAGCATCTGTTCTTAATCTATTAAATTTAATTTGCTGTTATTTTGTTTAGGATTTTTTATCTGTGTTCATGATTGAAATTGGCTTTTAATTTTTGTGTCTCATATTATCTTGGTCAGTTTTTACTATAAAAGTTATGCTAGGTTGGGCATGTTGGCTCACACCTGTAATCCCAGCACTTTGGGAGGTCGAGGTGGGAGGGTCACTTGAGGCCAGGAGTTTGAGACCAGCCTGGGCAACATAGTGAGACCTCATCTCTACAAAAACTTAAAAAATTTTACCAATTTTCAAATTTTAATTTTCAAATCATAAAAACCAATGTGTACTCATGGTGACAATTTAAATGGTATTGAAATATATGAAACTCCCAATTCCTTAGTTTCACTCCCCAGACCTTGTAGCCATTGTTAGTTTCTTGAGTATTTCTGAGGATACTTAATATCCACATGTCACAGGCATAACTTGGAGATATTGTGAGTTCCATTCCAGACTACCACAATAAAGCAAATATCACAACAGAGCAAGTCACATGAATTATTTGGTTTCCCAGTGCATATAAAAGTTATGTTTATACTATAGTGGAGTCTATCTAGAGTATGCAATAGCATTATGTCTTTAACACAATGTATGTACCTTAATTTAAAAATACTTAATTGCTAAAAAATGCTAACAATCATCTGAGCCTTCAGCAAGTTGTAATCTTTATGCTGGTGGAGGGTCTTGCCTTGATGTTAATGGCTGCTGAATGGATGTCGTGTTAGCAGGCATTAAAAGAATATTATTCTCCTTGTACATCTTCATCAGAGCTTTTGGGTGACCAGGTATATTGTCAATGAACAATGTCAAATATTTTGGAAGTAATCTTTTTCTGATCAGTAATTCTCAACAGTGGGCTTAAAATATTCAGTAAACTATGCTGTAAACAGACATGTTGTCATCCAGGCTTTGTTGTTCCATTTATAGAAGACAGGCAGAGTCAATTTAGCATAATTCTTAAGGACCCCAGGATTTTCAGAATGGTAAATGAGTATTGGCTTCAACTTAAAGTTACCAGTTACACTGGTATCTAACAAGAGAGTCAGCCTGTCCTTTGAAGCCAGGCATTGAATTCTCTCTAACTATGAAAGTCCTACGTGGCATCTTTCCCCAATATAAGGCTGTTTCACCTACACTGAAGATCCGTTGTTTAGTGTTGCCACCTTCAACAATTCCCTTAGCCAGATCTGGATAACTTGCTGCAGCTTCTCCATTAGCACTTGATGCTTCAACTTGCACTTTGATATTATGGAAAGAGCTTCTCTCCTTTACCTTCAAGAACCAACCTCCGCTGGCTTCCAGCTTTTCTTCTGCAGCTTCCTCACCTCTCCCAGCCTTCACAGAATTGAAGAGACCGAGGGCCTAGCTCTGGATCAGGTTTCGACTTAAGGGAATGTTGAGGCTGGTTTGATCTACTCAGACCACTCAAGCTTTCTTCGTATCAGCAATGAGGCTGTTCCCCTTTCTTGTTATTCATGTGTTCGCTGGAGTAGCACTTTTAATTTCCTTCAAGAACTTTTCCTTTGCATTCCAAGTTGGCTAACTCCTCGGCACAAGGGGCCTACTTTTCAGCCTGTCTCAGCTTCCCACATGCCGTCCTCACTAAGCTTAATCATTTCTAGATTTTGATTTCAAGTGAGAGACATGCGACTACTCCTTTCACTCGAACACTGAGAAGTCATTGTAGGATTATGAATTCTCCTAATTTCAATATTGCTGTGTCTCAGGAAATAGTCTGTGGATAAGAAGAGAGAAGGGGGAACGGCCAGTCGGTGGAGCAGTGAGAACACACACGACATTTATCAATTAAGCTTGCTGTCCTATACAGGCGTGGTTTGTGACATCTCAAAACAATTATAATAGTAACATAAAAGATCACTGATCACAGATAATCACAACATATACAAAAGTAATAATAATGAAAACGTTTGAAATATTGTGAGAATTATTACCAAAATGGGACACAGAGACAGGAAGTGAGCACATGCTATTGGAAAAATGGCGACGATGGACTTGCTCAATGCAGGGTTGACACAAACCTTCAATTTGTAAAAACAAACCATATCTGTGAAGTGCAATCAAGCAAAGTGAAATAAAATGAGGTATGCCCATATGTATCCTTTCTTCACACATAGTGTCATAGCATACAAACCCTCCCATCCTTTTGTACTTACTGGCACAGAGACGGCTGGCCATTATCAATATCTATTACCCACTTCTTCCTTCCTAATAAAGCCTTGAACTCTTAGCTAAGTATATGGCCACTCAGAATAAAGACTATATTTTCTAGTCTATGTTGCAAGAACACTTGGCCCTGCGACCAAACCCTGGCCACAGGGTTCGATGGAAGCACTGGTACTACATGGCATTTTTAACATTGTCCCTTAAAAGATAGCTGGCACACACACACCTTTCCCCTTCTTTTTCTATTGCCTGCATGCCTGGACACAGATATTATTTCTGGAGTCCTGTCCCCTATCTTGGACCATGAAGACGAGGGCCACATCTCAGGGAAGACAGAGCACGGACCTGAGAGAATCCTGGCCCCCCGAGAACTCCACGGAGCAGAGTTGCTGCACTCACCTAACTGCCTGCCCCACGGTTTTACACAGGAGAGAAATAACTCACCATCAAATAGAACCCTGAGTCCGAATTTTTAAGTGGATCTTGTTGATTTTTTTTTCCATTTTGTTCTTTTTCTCATAAAAGGTTGTACTGTAGTGTTCAAGAGTGCCAGTTTCTACATATCTTAAGGTGTTTTCAAATCAAATGAAGAATAGCTATAGAGTTTATTATAGCTACAGTTGGTTTATTGTCTTAAATTTGTAAATGCAGTACAAAGAGGAGAGCGTACTATTACTGGGACTGGAAGTCACTCCCAAGACTTGGAAACAGGCTTGTTGGCTGTTAGGTGGAGCCCCATAGGTTGGCTTTTATGAGGAAAACGCCCTTGGAGACCGTGTGCTCACACCCCTCACCTCCGGTTCACAGAAGAAGACACTGTCCCCGCAGATCCGCAGGGGCAGCGTGTGGCTGGACTGCAGTGTGGCAGTGACTTCATCCCATGACCAGGGAAAATCACATCTTCTTCAGCCCCGGTTTCTTTACATGTGAAAGGTGATAACGTGAATGTCTCGCAGACACCTTATAAATATTAAATAAGCATTCCTACATCCTCCCACCGTCCCATCTCAGAGGCGCATAAGAATAGCCCTTTCCTCCCCTAAGACCTTACAGCACCTGCCTCCCATGCGCTTCCTCCTTCAGCTGCTGTGTCTTAAATCAATGGTCTTAAAGGATTGTTTGCTGAGGCTTTAGGCTCTTCAGCTGTACTTCTAAACATAGGATCGAGTTTCTCCCCTATAAATCTGCCTCCTTAGTTCTTAAGCAAGATCTCCGCAACTGTGATCAACTCTTGACTGGGGACTAGCTTTTGGCAACAACAGTGATGAAACTGATTTCATCGGCAGGTGCGTGAAGCCCAGCCCTCGGCTGAGTTTTCTTTGTTAATCCCCGATTTCAAAGGAGGAAATGATCTTTGCCTGTTTATTTTCCCTGAGTGGTTTGCTTAGGTCAGCAGAATCCTATTAATTATTCAATTGGAGAAATAACGGCTTTCTCTGAAGTTTCCTGCTATGCTGAAGCTTTGTGTCTTACAGTATTAGTTTAGATAGTGTCTGCATTGGAATGGAAGCATTATATGAGCTTAGGCTATATGGAAGCTTTATAAGTTATATGTGTTATAGTTTTATTTCCATGAATGCCCTTAACATTAGCTTTTCCTTAATGTCTTCTTTGGTCATTTGCATCTTACTGGTGACTACAGTCAGTGTTTCTAAATTATAAGTCCCTTTGGGGCAGGCATCAAATTGTGAGTTTTTTCCTCTACAACTTCGATCTCCAAATTTTTTGGCACCAGGGGCCAGTTTCATAGAAGACAATTTTTCCATGGCGTGGGGGAGGGGGGCAGTAATGGGGGAGTGGACAGAACTCAGGTGGGGATGAGCAGCCAGTTTCTAACAGGCCCCGGATGGGTACCAGGCTGTGCCCCAGGGGTTGGGGACCGCAGCTGTACAACCCCTAAAACAAGTACTTTGCATACAGCAGGTGGCAAATGATTAAGCAAATGAATAAAAAAAGGAATGAACAAGCAAACAAGTTTTGCTCAGGTTTTGCTTCTTTATATTCAATATTCAGGCATAGGAATTTGTGGGTTTAAGAGATCATAATCTTATCATGAAAGACCTTACTTTAAACTCTTTTAAGGAAATGAGTTCAGTATCAATTAAGAATAGGCTCAGCAGAAAGTGACAGGAAGCTTAAAATAAGAGTGGCTGGAACAGAATTGTAATTCAGTGTCATTTTCTGTCTTGTAGAAGGAGCCCAGAAGTCCCCATCCAGGACTACTGTGGCTCCCCCGTGACGACAGGCACTCGGGCTTCTTTCACCTTCTAGAATTGCTGTCCTCAGTATGTGGCTTCCACCTCATCATCCAAGGTGGCTACTCAAACTGCTGCCATCACATCAGCATTCCCACTGGATGAAAAAAAGAAGAATATGTCCTTTTCTTTGAAGATGCTTGCTGGAAGTTGTTTCTTTCTGGAACTGGCATCACCATTTCTGCCTACACCTCATTGGCCAGAACTCAGTGCCATGGGAGTCTGGGAAATGTAGTTTTTTTATCTTGGGCAATCATGTGTCTGCCTGGAATTACAGGGTTCTTTTGCTAAAGGGTCAAACAGATATTGGGGGACAAATAGGAGTCTCAGGCACAGTTTCCCGTTGCTGTTTGGATAAAGTAGGAACTTACTGTTACGCTCAGCAAGGTCCTCACTGATCTAGTCACTGCTTGGTCTCTGGTCTCGTCTCTCATTTCTTTTTCTTTTTTTAGCATGAAAATGAGGTTTATTGAGGAAGAGCAAGATAGGTTTATGGAGCAAGATCAAGATACATTCGCCACAGACAATGAATGGGTCCCATGTCATAACAAGAGGCCTCATCTCTGGTTTCTTATTCATACTGTTTTATCTCTGTTTTCCTACTTTAATTTTCTCTAATGGGTGCAGCTCCAACCCACCTCAGTGCCTTTGCTGGGATTTAAGAATCCTAGATTAGGCCCTCTGTCCCCACGATATATTATTTCTAATAACTTCCCATACCTCCTCTTTGTAGCACCTACACAATTACATTTATAAATGATTTATGTTATGATTGCTTTATAACTCTCTTTCCCACTAACCTATAGGTTGTCTGAGTGCAAAGACTTTGTTCATTCATGTCTGTATTCCCAGTATCAAACATGGCATTTGGCACAAATTAGGTATTTAAAAAGTCTTTGCTGGATAATTGAATGAACTTTCTAAAGGAACTCTCTCACTTTACAAATGAGGTAATAATTTAATCGAGTCCTCAAAGAATCTGTATTCTATAATAGTTTCTTGAGTGAGTTGGTTAAAATGAAGGTTTCAACTCCTGTTGAGAATCTTTCTGAAACGTTCTGGTCTAATTTCCTGTCTCTTAGCAAAGACAATGGATCACATACTGTTTACTCCTCCTCTGATGGTCAGGATCCTACGTGCCTGAGGGTCAACATGATAACTACTGATCAGCACTGACCAAAACCACAGCTGCAGAACAGGAAAGAAATCATGAGGAGTCTGTGTGATTCTGGGATACAGCCTGGAAAGTTCCTTTAAACAAATGTGCTCAACATTAACTGGTTTTCTTTTCAATTGCCTCTTTCTCCCAAAAGTAGTGTGCCCAAAAATTTGGATGATCGTGTTTCCCAGTTGACAGAGAATTAATTTTATTTGGGAATTGTCACCCTTGTTTTGAAAGAAAAAAATAACTTTTTAAAAAGTGTCAGTCACACATTGGAGCTATGAATGACAGTCATGTCTGTGTTCAACAATTCCTTTTTTGAAAACAGTGGAGGGAAAACAGCATTATTTCTTGTTGTCCTGATTTTTAAATATCATCTGCTAGAATCACTATGAAGGAGGGAGGCCAGGAAGAAGGAAGATGATCTTTGGAATACCCTGAATTCCAGTGATGGCCCAGAAGTTTGCAGAATGTCATGATTTAGGGATGTAAGTTGTTTTGAAAACTGTGAGTCTCAGTTTTCCAGGGCTATGGGACTTTGATGGATTGAAGAAACAGAATCTTTACATTTGTCACAGGCTTCTTACACTAGAGTACTTTTTTGGCATTTGTCCGACATTTTAATTTAATAAGGCATGTCTTGCATTTTTAAAATGTTTGGTCTTTTTAATCTTTTATAAAAACTCTTTAACTAAATGGCTATTCTTCTTTCTGAGTGTTTGAAATAACATTTATTAATACATGTTAGGTACTTCCCCGTGGTTGGAAGCTGCTTCTCTTCCCCCAGTGCCCCAACACCTCTGTCAATGTTGGCACCTCCTACCTTTGAAATATAGGAGAACTAACTAGTCATGGAGGATGTAGGAAAAGGGGAACCTCGTATGCTGTTGCTGGGAATGTAAGTTAGTGCAACCACTATGGAAAACAGTAGGGAGATTCCCCCCAAACCTAAAAATACAACTACCATATGACCCAGTGATCCAACTGCCAGGTCTACATCCAAAGGAGGAGAATTCAGGATATGGAAAAGATATCTGCACTCCCATATTTATTGCAGCACTATTCACAACAGCCAAGACACAATCGACCTAAGTGTCTATCAACAAATGAATGGATAAAGAAATTGTGGTGTATACACACACACACACACACACACTGAAATATTATACAGCCATAAAAAGAACAAAATCCTGCCATTTGAAACAACATAGATGGAACTGGAGAACATTATGTTAAGTGAAATAAGCCAAGCACAGAAAGACAAATCTCATGTATTCTCACTCATATGTGGGGGCTAAATATTAAAAACAATTGATCTCATGAAGACAGAGAGTAGAATGATGGTTTCCGGAGGCTGGGAAGGGCAACGGCATGGGGGAGGGGGAATAAAGTGGGGTGGTTAATGGGTCCAAAAATATAGTTAAATAGATAGAATGAGCAATATTTGATAACACAACAAAGTAACTATAATCAACAATAAGTTAGGATATACTTTAAAATAACTACAAGAGTGGAATTGAAATGTTCCTGACACAGAGAAATGATAAATGCCTGAGGTGATGGATACCCCAATTACCCTGATTTGAGTAATTCACATTGTATGCCTATATCAAAACATTGCATGTACCCTATGTAGATATATAACTATTATTTACCCATAATAACTAAACATTTTTTAAAAGACATAAAAAGAAAAAAAGAAACCAATCATGGAGCTAAAAGTAGGAGATGAAAGTGTGTGCAGGCAAAATGTCTAATGGTGAGAAACTTTAATTTGAACTGAAGCCAGTACTATTCCCAAACTGTTACCAAAATAATTTATCTTCTAGAGAAATTTAGTCATCAATGTCTAAACACAAACTAGGAGTAAAGGCTAAGATTTTATCCATTTTAAAATGCTACTTCACAATGTACTTTAGCACTGACACTTCAGATGGGATTGGAATAGAGTTTAAAATAGGCACCTATCTCTTCTAGTTAAGAAAATGCCTATGTGCCTATTCTTAGTAGCTTCAAGGGAGATTTGATTCAATGTTGACTACAAGGCTTTCTGGCAAGGTAGCTGTCATTCAATGAAAGTTCTGGCTACTTGGTATTCAGTGTGATGTGATAAACCAGAAATGCAATCAGTCAATCAAGCAGGGCTTCATCTGGGAGCCAGGGAATGTGGTGGGGGGAAGTAGCTCCCAGGGTAGTGACAGGATGCAGGTAGTGTCACGGCTACTTTGTTTCTACCCAGTGGGGAAATCTATTTTCGGCTAGATCCCAAGGAGGAAGTGATACTTCCTGTCATATAGATGGTAAACAGTCTCTCCCTTTGCTCTGGCTAAGTGGCAGATGTCACCCAAAGGTAGGCAGAGTCCTCAGAGCAGAAAAGAGAGAGACTGGCACTGGGCAGACACTCCCAGGAAGACAGGTAAAGTGTGGAGGCAGCGTTTTTTGCAGACAGAGCTTATCAAGGCGATCAAAACCGCCTTAACAATGCTATAATGAAGGCTCAATTTGCTTGACTTGTAAAAATACGGAAGCAATCAGGCCAGCTCGGAGAGGGCGGGAGAGGAACACAGAATGGAGCACAGGGAAGGAAACCAGCGCACCTTGGAAAATAAAGAAGGGCAATGTCCTCCAGCGCACTCACGGTGCAGATTGCTGGTTTCTGGTCTGCAGCAAGAGAAATGCAGACATGTAGAGAAAGCATTTAGAAAACATGATGGGAATTTGACATTGCTGCAGCATTTAAGCGTGGTCCTGCATGTTCTTACAATTTGTCTTGTACTAGAGCTCTTATGTTTAATTTGAAGACAAAAAAAAACAAACAACAAAAAAAGGGGAGAGATGTACCCCTAAGATTACTCAAGCTACACAGAAAGCCATGAGTCTATTGAATGAGGCACTTGGTGGAATGGGAGGGTATTTAGGAGTAAAACGAAGGGCAGGCCTAAGCCCAAGGAATAACAGGCAGGGTGGAAGAAACTATGCACTTGTCTCATTGAACAGGCTATAGAGCTGTTAGGGTGTTGTAAATTCACGTAGTAAGTCATGTGTGCCGTGACAGTTTAAGGTTAGTGTCATAGTCTCTTTGTGCTGTAACAGAATACCACAGACTGGCTAATTTATGAAGAACAGAAACTTATTTCTCGTGGCTCCGGAAGCTGGGATGTCCGAGATCAGGGCACCAGTAGGTTTGGCTGTCCAGGGCTGCATCCTCCGAAGGGAAAGAACGCCGTCCTCACATGGGGGAGACGGAAGGGTAAGCTGGCTGAACACTGCGTGAAGGCTCTTTTATCAGGGCTTTTATAATCCCACTCACCAGGAAGGAGCCCTCAGGACCTAATCACCTCTTAAAGACTCCTGCCTTGTAATACCATCACATTGGCTACTAAGTGTCTACACCTGAATTTTGGAGGGCACACATTCACACCATAGCAGTTTGTCAATTGTAACTCAAGAGTGTGTAAGATCCAGAATAGCTTTGGTCATCATAAGATAATTTAAAGTTATTGTTTAAGTGGTGAAATGGTCAGAATGACAGGGAAAAACCGTCGAGTGCCAGGACGCAGCCACTCGCAGCCTTCCCCGGCTATGCATCCACGTGGGCCGCTCGCAGGCTGGATGGAGGCTGGGGGGGGGGGGAGGAGGGGGTGTGCACACTGCTGGGCCTGGGGCCTCGCTGTTGGGGCCACCTGCTCCTGTCCTCCACTTGAGCTGGCTGTGCGATCTTGATTGGATACTTTCTGAATCCCACTGTTGCTGATTGGATGTTAAAGCTTATGGCTGATTGGATGTTAAAGCTTATTGCTGATTGGACGCTTTTTGAGTCCTACCAAGGGTATAAAAGCAGGAGGAGAACAAGGAAGGGGGGTGGTCAGAAGTTGGCTGAACCTGCTGGAGGAAGAAAGACTGCTCTCCGACTCTGTATGCTGCCTGGTTCTTTCCTTGGTTAAGAGCTATAACACTAGCTGCAACACTTGCAGGAACATTTTGGTTCCCTGACAGGGAAAGCTGACTGAGCTGGCCCTTTGAAGCCACCGGGACAGCAGACGGCGGGCTGAGACTAGCGGGCACCGAGCAGCATCTCTCTTCTCCAGCGCCAAGAAGAGAGAAGCAGAGCTGTTGGCCAAGGGCAATGCCAAGCTTGCCAAGGTCTTGCTGAGGGAGGGGAAGCAGGGGCACCGACACAGCCTGCGACAGGCCTCCTGGCAGGTGCTGGCCTCCACAGTGCAGGAGCAGGAGGCCAAGCAGGTGGGTGCCGGACTGAACGAGCTGGATCGGCAGACCAAGGCCAGGACATTGGACAAGGTAGGTTTCTGGGACCCGCCCGAGATAGGCCTGTCAGCGGGGCGGAAGAGGAGCCCATCGGCTCCTAAAGACAGAGATCCCCCAGGGGAGGGAATGTGTAACCTCTGAGTGAATGTGAGTGGAAGGAACATAGTGACTGCTTGCGGTCATTGTGTCTGTAGCCCCATAGCTTCGGCTACGAGGTTTGAGTGGGTCCTAACCTGGGGTCCTGTGGCAACATCAGCATAACGGCGATTCACTCCCCCTGATGCCTTAGCCAAGACGCCTAAGTTCCCTCGAGGGACGCAGCTAGGCAGACACCTGAGAGAAGCCCCCACCCCTTGTCTAGAAAGGGGAGGAGCCAGAGAAGAGACCAGAGTCTGGGCAGGGACAAGGTTCAGAAAAGGAGTGTTGTCAGGCGGTGTAGGGAACAGGAGCACTAGTTAAACCAGTTGAAACATGGGAGGGTCCGAATCCAAGTCAACAGTTCTAAGGTGCATGCTCCGGTTCTAAGGTGCATGCTCCGGTTCTAAGGTGCATGCTCCGGTTCTAAGGTGCATGCTGATAAGTTTCACACATTCATTATGGAGAGTGGTGACTGCGACTGCACCCGACACCCCACCACCATCGGTTTCTCCACCGCTGGCATCTCCACCACTCATGTGCTGGTTGCGGTCTGCCCAACCCCTTACCCCAGCCTTCCAGATGCCTCTGCATGAAATGTGAGGTCCGCCGCAGGTTCAGGATGACGGAACCATCCAGCCGGGACAACCTGCCCTGTATTATCAGCCTTTCTCCACCACTGACTTATTGAATTGGAAACACCATACCCCGTCCTACTTGGAGAAATCACAGGCCCTAGTCAACCTCCTGGAGTTTGTCTTCCAGACTCACTGCCTCATGTGGGAAGATTGCCGGCAACTCCTGCTGACCCTCTTCAGTACCGAAGAACAGTGTCGGATCATGACTGGAACTCGGAAGTGGCTGCAGGAACGGGCGCCGGCGGGCACCCTGGATGTGGAACAATGGGTATCACGAGTGTTGCCTGAGACCAATCCAGAGTGGGATTTCAATGCACCAGAAGGACAAGTGACACTCAAGCAGTAACAAGAGGCCCTTCTCCAAGGAGTGCGGGAAGGGGCCAAAAAGCCGACCAACATGAACAAGGTTGGCCTAATTACCCAGAAGCCAGAGGAGTCACCCTATGACTTCTAGGAGTGCCTCTGCGAGGCATACTGAATATACACACCTATTGACCTGGAGGCAGCTGAAAACTAGAGAATGGTAAATGCAGCATTCGTTGGGCAATCAGCCTCTGACATTCGGAGGAAGCTACAGAAACTCGAAGGATTCACAGGCATGAGTATTACGCAGTTAATGGAGGTGGCCCACAAGGTGTACGTCAACTGGGACTAGACTGCTCAGAGGGAGAAAGACCAGAGGATGAAGAAAAAGGCCGCCCTCCTGGCTGCTGCCCTTGGTAGACCAGACTCGTCCAAGCGGCCCCGACCCCCATGAAAGGGGGGAACCAGAGAACAGGCACCCCTGGCAAGAGACCAGTGTGCCAATTGCAAGGGGTTCAGCCACTGGAAGAATGAATGCCCCCACGAGAGAAGTCACCTGTCACGAGGGAGGGCCCCGTTTGGGACTATCCAACAGAAACCGGAAGCCAAAGAGCTAGTGGGGCTCGCTGGTATTGACTCCAAGTTGAGCCAACCGGGTTCCTTCGGCCCTTGGGAACCCATGGTCAAGATAAAAGTAGGGGGCCAACAAATGACATTCATGGTTGATACTGGAGCAGAACACTCAGTTGTGACAATCTCCATGGCCCCACTTACAAAGCAGGAAACTATAGTTGGAACTACTGGGACTCGGGTAGCCAGACCCTTCTGCCAGTCCCAGGTATGCCAACTAGGGGGCCATCAGATAAGGCATGAGGTCCTCTACATGCCAGATTGTCCAGTGCCTCTCTTGGGACGGGACTTGCTGAGCAAGTATGAGGCAGATGCCATCCAGTGGACTGAGGAGCTGGAGGAGACCAAAAAGAAGCTAGTGGAGAAAGATAAGGAGTGCACTAACCTGAGGCACAAGCACCAGCGGGCAGTGGAGTCCCTGCAGGTCTCTCTGGATACTGAGACCCGCAACAAAAGCACCGAGGCTCTCACTTAGGCCTGCAAAACCACTGAGGCCTGCAACAAATCACTGAGGCTCAAGAGGAAGACGGAGGGTGACCTCAGTGACCTGGAGCTGCAGCTGGGCCATGCTACCCGGCAGGCCACGGAGGCCCAGGAGGCCACACAGCTGCTGCAGGCCCAGCTGAGGGAGGAGCAGGCAGGGCGGGATGAGGAGCAGCGGCTGGCAGCTGAGCTCCGAGAGCAGGTGCAGGCCCTGGAGCACCGGGCTGCGCTGCTGGCTTCTGAGCTGGAGGAGCTACCGGCTGTGCTGGAGCAGGGCAAGCACAGTGAGCAGCTGGCTGAGCACGAGCTGCCGGAGGCCACCGAGTGCCTCAACCTCCTGCATTCGCAGAACGCAGGCCTCCTGAACCAGAAGCAGCAGCTCGAGGCGGATTTGGCCCAGCTGAGTGGGGAGGTGGAGGAGGCTGCCCAGGAGAGGCGGGAGGTAGAGGAGAAGGCCCAAAAAGGCCATCACCGATGCTGCCATGATGGCTGGGAAGCTGAAGGAGGAGCAGGACACAAGTGCACACCTGGAACGGATGAAGAAGACACTAGAACAGACGGTGCAGGAACTCCAGGCCTGGCTTGAGGAGGCTGAACAGGCTGCCCTCAGAGGTGAGAAAAGGCGGGTACCTATGGGGGTACTGGCGCAGACTATGGGCCCCTGGCAGAGGCCAGTGGCCTGTCTGTCCAAGCGGCTGGACTCGGTAGCATTGGGATGGCCGCCTTGTCTGCGGGCACTGGCAGCGACCATCTTGCTGGTCAAGGAGGTGGACTGGCTTGCGTTTGGGCAGGGTGTCCCAGGTCCCTCACGCAGTGGTGGCTTTGGTGACCACATCGGGGCACTGATGGTTTTCTAGTGGTCAGCTGACGCAGTGCCAGGGACTGCTGTGAGGGGACCCTCAAGTCACCATCGAGACTGTGTGGACCTTGAACCCTGCCACCTTCCCTCCTACCAGGCCAGGGCCCCCGGACCATGACTGTGCCGAGGCCGTGGAGGAGGTCCGTGCAAGCCGGCCAGACTTGAGGGATGGTCTGTTGCCAGCGCCCGACCTGGAGCTCTACACGGACGGCCACAGCTACAACCAGGATGCAAATGTTTGGCTGGCTACACAGTCACCACAGGGAGTGAAGTCATCATGTCAGCCCTTATTCCTCAGGGATGGTCAGTCCAGAGGGCAGAGTTATGGGAGCTCATCCAAGCTCTCAGGTATTCCCACGACAAAAGGGCAAATGTATATGGGTTGCCCCTGAATCTGGTTAGAAGCCAAGGACTGAATGGAACTACTGGCCTGGACTCTTACAGGAATACTGACAGTCGTCTTAGGAATTGGACTCGGGGCCTCCGCCCCAAAAGACTGGACTAACTTCTTGGTAATCCTTTTCTGGGTCTACGTGGGCGCCTCTGTGTTGTTCTTGGTTGGGGCTCTCTGGGGGAAAAATGCTGTTACAATTCCCGATTGCTTTACATAGAAACTACCAAAGTCAAAGGGCTAAAAGATCCTTCTGATGGTAACCATGGGACCCTGCTTGTCCAATGCAGTTAATAGATTCATAGAGGTGGATGCCTCTGTATAAACTGATAAGGGCATCAAAAGGGGGGAATGACAGGGGAAAACTGTCGAGCGCGGAGACGCAGCCACTTGCCACCTCCCTGCCGCTCCGCATCCCTGTGGACCGCTGTGTGGGGCCGGCTGGAGGCTGCGGCGGCTGCACGCTGCTGGGGCCGAGCCTCGGCCACCTGCTCCTGTCCTCCGCTTGAGCTGGCTGCGCAATCTTGATTGGATACTTTCTGAATCCCACTGTTGCTGATTGGATGTTAAAGCTTGTTGCTGATTGGACGCTTTTTGAGTCCTACCAAGGGTATAAAAGCAGGAGGAGAACAAGGAAGGAGGGGTCAGAAGTTAAAGTCGGCTGAACCTGCTGGAGGAATGAAGACTGTTCTCCGACTCTTTGTGTGCCACCTGGTTCTTTCCCTGGTCAAGGGCTGTAACACTAGCTGTAACACTTGGCACAATAAGAACTGGCTATGAATTAATTATGATCGGCCAACAATTTTTTTAGAGTAACAGTGATTCTCAATATTCATCATCTACATGCACACTTCCCATGCAGCATGTGTACAATTTTTGTAATTTTTTTTTTTTTTGAGACAGAGTCTCACTCTGTTGCCTGGGCTAGAGTGCCACGGCATCAGCCTAGCTCACAGCAACCTCAAACTCCTGGCCTCAAGTGATCCTCCTGCCTCAGCCTCCTGAGTAGTTGGGACTACAGGCACGTGTCACCATGCCTGGCTAATTTTTTTCTATTTTTAGTTGTTTGGCTAATTTATTTCTATTTATAGTAGAGACAGGGTCTTGCTCTTGCTCAGGCTGGTCTTGAACTCCTGAGCTCAAGAAATCCTCCCACCTCAGCCTCCCAGAGTGCTAGGATTACAGGCATGAGCCACCGCACCCAGCCATAATTTTTGCAATTCTTTTATTTTATCCCTTGATGTATTTGTTAGACGGTTATCTGAAATCTGCACCCCACTGGACTATTTCAGAAAAAAAATGCTGTGGCTTGGAATGGTCACAACTGGATACACTGAACCCTTCTGGAATATTGCCTTAGCCAATGAGATCTAGTTCTATCCGAGTGTGCTACAAATAAATCTTCACAGTCCTCTGTGCTGGAAAGGCTTACGTTTCTACCTCAATAAACTACAGTTTATAAAAAACAGCCACCTACTTTATCAAAATTTATGGCTTTGTTCCTGGATACTTATAATTTATCTTGTACTAGAGCTACATGTTGGTTTGGGTTGAAGGCAACAAGAAAAACATGAGAGATATATATACCTAAGAT